CTCATTTTCAGACCTCTTTCAAGAGTCAATCGACAATTTAAAGTATTGACAGAGATGCAATCTTTTTCCTCCCAGACGATGGTGATTGTCGGCTCCAAAGTTCGAATTTAGAGTGTGGCATCTGTCATCATCTCCACATTGTCGTCAGAATAAGGGTTGCAGAGAAACGATCACGATATTGTAGCACAAATATATAATATTCAAACTACGAGTCTATGGTGGCATCTTAATTACTTTTTCTTTGAAAAAGGGAAATCAAACTACAACCATACCATGCTACGAAATTAAAGTAATTACGAGCTATAAGAATTATTGAGAAAACTTACCGTATCACAAACACACTTCAAAACTACATCGTAATGTTGGAATATACAAAAATGTAGATTTTCAATAGTTACATAGAATATCTATGGTACAAGAAAACAATTGACTTATTAGGTATTTGTGCTTCCATTTAAAAGCAAATTTGCCAAGAAATTGGGATCGTGTTTGATCCACATTTGGTGACGAGCAAGTTGGCCATATGTAGATAATATTAACCTAGCTTAGCTATTATCTACTCCCATGGCGGGGCATGTGCTTGAACACTAAGGTCAATGTGCACGACACCATTGTTTTTCTAACTAACATATTATCATAACATATAGATGAGAAGAGAACTATGTAAAAGGGAAATATTAAAATGTTAATAGCATGATTAGCATCATTACTCCCTATACTATCTTGTTTTAACTGGTATGTATTTGTAGTACTTTTCCATTGGCAAATCATGAACATAAAGTACATTTTTGATAACTCGCATGTCATGTACATTTGAAAATCAGTCTTTTAGGCATTAGTCGATCCTGCTAGTAAATGCATAGTACAAGGTGGGGAAATTATGTAAACCCTAAAGATTATGGGTGTGTATGTGTAATAAATAAAAATTAGCTAGATAGCCTTGCTTGATGAATGTTAAGTTGCTAACTGCGCGCTGCTGAGCGTGCCGACTAGCTATATTGGTTTTCTTTTCTGAGGATTGAAGAAAAAGGTTTGCTCAAGATCACAATATCATCAATGGGGGCAGCCGTTGAGCAGTCTCTTTATTAACCGGCTGCCTGTCTGTATATATTAATTTCCTTCTGAGGAACAAACGAAATATATATGTTTGCTAAATTGGATTGAATCTTCCCTGATTATTATGAGGTCATGAAACTAACCGCTCAAAACGTTGTATTATAAACAATTAATACTTAATAGTCGACATATATTGAGGAAAATAACTAACATTCTTGATACGATTTCAAGAAACTTAGTAGTAGTTGTAGCGCTATTTATCATGTTAATTAACGAGAGATTTCATTCTTCTCCGAATTTGTAATATAACTTATTAATAGTTAATGTTTTGTATGTATCACTATGTAGCAAAATTTATTGGATTGTTATTTCTCTTTGTCAATATTATGACCACTCTTTCAAATGCAGAAAGAATCACCTAATTGAAAATGATCTTTACTAGCTACAAGCATTTTATTAATAAATCAATACATAGGATGTCGCTAGAATCCACCATTGAAGCATAAACCGGCCTTTAAGTTTGTTTGTTGAGAAATCCATTTCTCAGTTGACATTGCTAGGCTAGGCTAAGGGGGAAGGAATATATAGAAAACTAATGATGAAACCATTTGTCCACATTCTGAATCATTAGCCAAATATATCTATAATTTTTTTTTGCATGAATGATGATATTATATTTTCTTTCCCCACTTAAGTTACACCAAATCCCCTCTAATATCAAATAAGAATATGTTCAAAGAAGTATATATTTCTTAGTTTGATTAATTGTTTATATTATGAGACGATTCAAGTAGTAGAGTATAGAATTGGTACGGTTTGCTTATGGATTCAACCCTGATTCATTTGCAATTATGGGTTTACCAAGCAGTAAGAGGGCCAAAAGTAATTGTAACGATAAGTAATGGCTAGCAGTGAGTGGCAATGATGCATTGTGATTTGTGAGTGATAATGAAAATGATTAACTTCTTTTATGTGTGACCAGAAGCATGTAGTATTTTCTGATTCCATTAACAAATGTTTGTAAATCAACTTTGCAAAATGATGGGAAGTTTTGAAGTATGCATTAATTAATCATTCCAAAGCACCGCATGATTAAACATGGCAGCAACCCAATTAAAAAGGATGATGTAATAGCTAGTATACATGTCTCACATTGGCTTAATAAGTTTTTTTGATCCATTAATATTAGTTATGATGTCTCCAACTCGTCAAGGGAGAGTATCTGTAGAGGCAAGTGCTCCTAAAAAGAGTACTCGTCAATCCATGTAAAGGAGCACTAGCTCGTAGTTGAATAAGCGTACATTTGTCTTTTGAATATTAGACCAACCATTAACGATAGTACTAACTTATAACAAACTCGAATTTTAGAGTCAGATATTTGATTGTTTTTCTCCCTTATAGGTAGTCAAGTTTTTGAAACTAAAGTAGTCTTATGCCCCATCAAAAGATAACTACCTCATATGGGATGATATATATACTACTAGTTCTAATAATAATGAGGCATTTCACCTCCAAGACATATTAGGTGTATTCATAATTTCATACAAGTCATATTGCACCAATTATTCATTCCTTAGGATTTTTAGCATTAACTATAGAAGATATTCATAATCAATCAATCAATAATTATGAACCTCCCACATTAATCTTCAATATCAAGTCATACTTAATTCCTAACTAATATTTTCCCAAATACAACAAACAAAATTAGCCTAATTAATATCTGCTCACCGCCTAATTCCCCAACATCACAATACAAAACATATGTTAATTACTAACTCAATAATAAAATAATATTTGGATTAATGACACATTCAATCATGAGCAACCTCCAACTTCAAAATTTTTTATATAAGAAATTAAAGGAAATCGAGAACCAGCATACACTCTCGCCGGCATGCCGACAAGCCACCGGAACTCAACCGGCGGTGGACTATGTAATCAGTTCTAAATTGGTTGGACACCTGCCTTTCCCAACCATTTCTAAATAAAGTAAGTAAACGGCACTCTTTGTTGGTCTAGAACAGTTAGGTTGGGTCTTAGAGCCTCACGAAGAAGGTGACATTTCCTCAAAATAACCCCAAAAGGATTTTCTAAGAACAGAGCAGAAGGAAAATAAAATCACATAATCAGAAACATGTGGTGGACAATGTTATGGTTCGGTTTGGTTCAATATACAAAACTAACCTGATATGATATTTATATTCTACATAAATCAAGAGCCCTTTTAGTGTGCTCTATAGCACCCATGCTATAAAAAACAAAAAAAAAAGGTGACCTGTTGAGGAGGTAAACCCACTAAATGACTGGTCCCACATCATTAATGGCAATCTTGTAAATAATGAATCAATGTATACAAGTGTAGGTACAAATTAGAGTTGTACCATATCGTATAGGTACAAGTTTCAGTTGTACCATTGAAGAATTTGTTTCACAAAGTGTAGGTACAACTTAAAGTTGTACCATTACTATAGGTACAATTTTGAGTTGTACCATAAAGGGATTTGTTAGAAAGTGTAGGTACAACTTAAAGTTGTACCATGGTATAGGTACAAGTTTGGGTTGTACCATAAAAGAATTTTGAGAAAGTGTAGGTACAACTTAAGGTTGTACCATTAGTATAGGTACAATTTTTAGTTGTACCATAAAGGGATTTGTTAGAAAGTGTAGGTACAACTTAAAGTTGTACCATGGTATAGGTACAAGTTTAGGTTGTACCATAGAAGGATTTTTAGAAAGTGTAGGTACAACTTTAAGTTGTACCATGGTATAGGTACAAGTTTGGGTTGTACCATAGAAGGATTTTGAGAAAGTGTAGGTACAACCTTAGGTTGTACCATTAGTATAGGTACAATTTTGAGTTGTGCCATAAAGAGATTTATTAGAAAGTGTAGGTACAATTTAAAGTTGTACCATTAGTATAGGTACAATTTTGAGTTGTACCATAAAAGGATTTGTTAGAAAGTGTAGGTACAACTTAAAGTTGTACCATAGTATAGGTACAAGTTTGGGTTGTACCATAAAATAATTTTGAGAAAGTGTAGGTACAACTTAAGGTTGTACCATTAGTATAGGTACAATTTTTAGTTGTACCACAAAGGGATTTGTTAGAAAGTGTAGGTACAACTTAAAGTTGTACCATGGTATAGGTACAAGTTTGGGTTGTACCATAGAAGGATTTGGAGAAAGTGTAGGTACAACTAAAAGTTGTACCATTAGTATAGGTACAATTTTGAGTTGTACCATAAAGGGATTTATTAGAAAGTGTAGGTACAACTTAAAGTTGTACCATGATATAGGTACAAGTTTGGGTTGTACCATAGAAGGATTTGTTAGAAAGTGTATAGGTACAACTTGTGAATTGTACCATAGAAGATTTTTAGGAAAGTGTAGGTACAACTTTAAGTTTAGTGTAAAGTTACAACTAGAAAGTGTAGGTACATCTTCTAGGGCAAAAGCTAATGATCTATCTGGATCTTCTGTAGCTGTCCGTTCCTATAGGGCAGCAGCAGGAAAATAATGGTGTGGAAGAAGAGTTTCATGGATGATACTATTTGGGAACAGAAGAATTCAGCTCGTGATGATGATGATGATGTACGTTCTAATTGAGGTTTCTGAATTTTATTTATTTCTCAATGTTATTGCTTCGACATATACAAGTATGTTTGTGATAATTAAGAAAAGGACCTTTTCCTGCTTATGTACTAATTTGTATTTACTTTGTATTTACTTTGTTTGCGGTACATAGATACAAAAGAATCAGAAGCAACTGATTGTTGCTTCTTCTATGGCACTGCCACACTGATACATTGAAAAAATTCAGCGCGGTAGCCTACTCTGGGTTCCAACAATGAAATAGAATCCCATGTCGTGACTTTACATGTCAAAATTCTAACTTCAGATATAACTCTCTGTGTACAATTGAGGACAATGGAAGCAAAGAATCAAGCAGCATCAGCTTTGGCCCACTTCCAGACGCTGACGACACCATTTGCGTCCCCTGTGAAAAACAAACCGTCAGGCCCACTTCGAATTGCTCTTACTTCCTTCTGTGAGTAAATCCTTCCACGCTCTTCGAGTGTTGGCAACTCGTATAACCCAACACTACAGTTGCTCCACGAACAGAACAAGACTGGTTTTCCTTCGGAATCATTCATCCCACCAAGAGCAACTGCAACACTTTCCTCTTCATGTGTGTACAAAAGGCTTATATCATCACTGTCATCTTCAGCGCAACCCCAGAACTTGACCTTCTTATCCAGTGAGCAAGACACCAGGGCCGTATTCCAGCAGATAACAGACGTCACAACACCATCGTGTTTGAATGCACTCCTCGGTGTTCAAATCCCACACCTTGATTGTCCCATCCATCGAACCAGAATACAATCTTGATCCAGTTCTTCGAAGACAAACTCCCTTCCGTCGTCTAAGTTCCTAATCTTGTACATGAAATCCACCTCCGAAGCACCATCTTCAAACGACTCCCGAGCTTCAGCTGACTAGCAAGAAGTAGACCGCGACAAAGTGTCAGACCAGAGGTCGGGTTCATCAGAACCAGAAGTTCTCAACACTGCGCTGCTATCATCCATCACTCTATCAACTCCCAATTCGATCTTCTCGGGACTTTCCTTCCCAATTCCTTCACCGAACCCCGATCGAAACTCGGATTCATCTATCCGAGGAACCTCCATCGCCGATCCTCTACGCTCTCCATATTCTTACCCCAAATCTCGAACTGAGAATTAGCGAAAACACCGTTGCCGTCGGAATCGGAAGCCCAATCGGAGATGGAAGAGACCTCTTCCCTAGTATCGAAGAATCCCTCTCCTCAGCACTGCAACTCTCCATCTATAGTGGGGAATTCCGACTCCCCCAAAGGAACCCTTAAGAATTCAGATCAAGTGATGTTGTTCCGCCTTTGACATGCCGCATGCGAAGTCGGGAGCTTTGAGAGTCGAGAAACGGAACCCCCAATCTCTTTCTTCTCACAGTGTCGCCGTCACCATCGCCCCTTGATGCAGGTTCGTTGTCGCCGTCGCCCTAATTCAGATGCAGATTCGCCGTCGCCGCCAATCAATCCCGTCACTATCGACGAAGAGACGCTCTGAAATCCCACCGCGGAAGAGAGGCTCTGAAACTCGACGAGGCTCTGGAACCGGTGCAACATGTTACCATTCCAACAGGTAAAAAAATAATAATTAAATAACTTTAATCCAATGGCTGATATTTTATAACAAGATCTAAGGGCTATAGACATAGTAAAGCACTCATACTATATAGCATACTAAAAAGCCTCCATAAATCAATTAGAAGTACCGAAACTGTATCTTGATCTACAAGCTGGAATATAATTACAAATTTTAACAAATCAATATTGATTGAGCTATTGGACCATTTTGAATTTAGTAACTTGATCATAATTTCTTCTATGAATGGTGTATGATTTTATTTCGAATAACAAAGGTGTTAATGAAGCAACGGAGATGGGAAAAAACATTCAAGGTGAAAGAGGAGAGTTAAAAAAAAAAAACACACACACACATAGAGCTAGAAACTAAGAAAAAGTCTCAAACTATCATAAAAGTATAGGGTCATCAACTAACATGATCTACAATGTTGTTCAACACTTTGAGCTAGGAATATGATAAACATAGTACGATTTCTTTACATGATCAAAGTCCATTATAAAATCAAGTCCAATCATTTTGATTCGAAAAATCAAATCGACTCAAGAGTGCATATACGCTAAGTCTAATCGAACCATGCAAAAGATTCGGCCTAAATCCAACCCGGTTTCCGGTCCAATTCCCTTACCCCTATTTATTTACAAACATACAAGGACTTCTTACCTCTTACAAATAGAGAGAAAAAGGAAATGGAAAGAAAAGAACAGAGAACAGTGCGACTGAAGACTTGAAAGCCACAATAAGAGATTTGAGCGCCCCTATAAAACCCACCATTATTGTCCACTTCTTCTCCTCAGCACCCCAAAAAACAAACATTTTCCCCTGTTTCACTCTCCCCCTTCCGCCATTGCCAGACTCCCCTGCTTCTGCTTGGAGCTCAGAAGCAGAGCAATAGCAAAAAAAGAAAAAACAGAGTGAGAAATAGTTCACATTTCTCACCTCCACCAGAGATGAAATGTACACTCCTCGATTAGCTTAAGATCTCGCTCAACCATTCCAATCTCCCCCCTTTTTCTTCCAGATCTAACCCCCTTTTTTTCCAGCCTTCCAATTCGTTGGCTGTGTCTGAAAAAAGTGAAGGAGGAAGAGAAAAAATGGAGTACACGACGAGGGCAATTCCGGAATCGTTCCGGGGAGCGAGGGACGACTTTACGCTTCAATTCTCGATGGTGTGGGACCAGATCAGAGCTCCGTTGATCGTCCCGCTGCTCCGGCTGGCCGTCGCCGTCTGTCTAATAATGTCGGTCATGCTGTTCATCGAGCGGGTGTACATGGGCGTCGTCATTATTCTGATCAAGCTGTTCGGCCGGAGGCCGGAGAAGCGGTACAAATGGGAGCCGATGAAGGACGACGTCGAGCTGGGCAACTCCGGCTACCCCATGGTCTTGATCCAAGTCCCAATGTACAACGAACGTGAGGTTAGTTAAACAAAAAAAAATCTACACTCTAAGCAAGTTGGATTCCTTTGGGGACCAGTGTTTCCCGGCCAGTTCTGCTCGCCGGTCGAACCACGTACGACAGACCGGGTTGTTGCAATACTTCGTTGCCACACATCGAGTAAAGTATGTGGTTAAATTTATTAACCGATATAATCAATTGATTCTTGTTTGTGAATTATAGGTGTATCAGCTTTCGATCGGGGCAGCTTGTGGGCTATCCTGGCCATCAGACCGGATCATAATTCAAGTGCTTGACGATTCGACCGATCCCACGATAAAGGTAGGTTAAGTCGGTTTATTACTTCCATGTACCCGATCTTTCGCTCAAATTTTGATTGATTTATGGTTTGATTGGTGATTTAGGACATGGTGGAGTTAGAGTGCCAGAGATGGGCAAGCAAAGGGATCAACATCAAGTACGAAATTAGAGACAATAGGAATGGGTACAAGGCGGGAGCCCTGAAGGAAGGAATGAAGCGAAGCTACGTTAAGAATTGCGACTATGTGGCAATATTCGATGCCGATTTCCAGCCCGAGCCCGATTTCTTGTGGCGCACCATCCCCTTCCTCGTGCACAACCCTGAGATCGGTCTAGTTCAAGCCCGTTGGAAATTCGGTATGTTGCTATTAGCTATATTTAGTTTTATTTCTACGTATATGTCGTTTTTTCCACAAATGTCATAATACATTCGAGTTTCGTGTCTTCTTGATTTGGACCGCAAAATCATATATTTTTTAATACTTAATTGGTGCTCAAAACGTAGGACATGACATTCACTGGTTTTCATGTTTTAGGTCGTTAAATTCAGGGTTTGACTATGTGTTTTCTTAATATAAATTTAGCTATTTTTGTGTGGTAATTACTTATTTTTTATGATTTATTTTCTGAAGTTTTTTAAGAGACTGTCGGTGGTTTTGTGCTGTGGGAAATTAATTTTCATTTTTTCGGTTTTTTATAATATATAGTTTTGTTGGGTTGTGGATGTGGAGGAGGAAAGGGATTGGTGGAGTATTGGGAGAGTGAAATTGGGTCCTACCTCGTGGTTCTTTTCAGTCCACTCCTAGCTGGATGGACACGTGGCGGGTGTTGTTTGGTTAGCTTTTAGGTGGACCCACATGCTCTCTGTGAGCTTGCTGAGAGATTAATTAAGTGGGTAGTTGTGTTTGTGTTGCTGCATGTTGTTTTTTTCCCCCTTCTTCTTTTGTCTTCAATTTGACAATAAAAATTTAACTTAGTATTAAGAGGGTGATCAATCTAATAGGGGGATCATTAATAAGAGGACAATTAGTAGGTTGTATGTCAAATCCAAACATGGCATCATTACTAGTGGACAAATTTCACGAAAAATAGTTCATTTTGCACCTTGTACGATGCATTTATATTATTTCCTCTTATAATCATTTACAAAACAAACATGCACATTGTCTGATCGTGCTTGAAATATTATTACGTCGATATACCTTCATGAATATCCGTAATTCTGTTTGATTAGAGAATGATCATTTTTACTTGAAACTTGAGAAATTATATGATAGGCTTATCTTTGTTTTATCCCCTTAATCTTTGAAGTGTTTATACCCAATCAACAACAAAAAAGTTATTTCACATGCAACATACATGTCATGGAAAAGGAAGTGCTTAGGACTAATTAACAACACATTTAAAAAATGGACCACCCACAAGCCTATTTACATGAATCACCTACCTAATTGAATTTTGGCAACTACTTCCTTCTCATCAACACCACACCTTTCCTTTTTGCAAAAAAAGGACTCTATTGGAATAGGAGAAGATAACAAACCTCACCTCCAATGGAAAATGAAATCCAAGAATCTTGGGGTCCAAATCCACCCACAACAAATAATGCTTGAATGTGACTACAATTGGGTTGGGTAGAACAAGCATGTTTGGCCATTACATTTTTGGGAATACATGGGTCAAGGCTAGATTCTTTTTCCTCATATATTTTTTGGCATATTTATCTTCCCAAAAATAGTTCTTTTTTCTAAAATTCATAATGAAGTATGAATTTTGGCAACAAGAAAAGATTGCACATGGGAATTTGATGATAGCACGAAAAATAACATATAAGAATTAAAAATACTAATTAAGCAGTTAAAGACGTGTGAGGTGATCCAACAATATCAACCCGTACCGCTTCACTACTATCTGCATGATAAGCAAACCTTGCACATGGAGTGTAGCAATTATCATATTCATTTTTTATGTTGATAAAACTTGGTTACTTTTTATGCTCATTAGTCATTTGAGCACCTCGTGGTGTAGATGCCGAGTGAGATATATATATATATATACTTGTATTCGCCAGCAAGCAAACCATAGCAAGCTAAGCATATGCATGTGCAGGCTCTAATGGTGGACCTCATGCTCATGTCCCAATCCTTGTCCCTGTCTGCCTAACAAACACTGCACTAGATTTCGGTTTTGTTTTGTTTTTTTTAATGATTATAATATAAAATCTATACAATGTTCGCCAGCTGTGCATTTGTAGTTGACGTGTATTTCTTTTGTTCATTTTTGGATTTTGTTAGTGAATGCTGACGAATGCCTGATGACAAGAATGCAAGAGATGTCATTGAACTACCATTTCTCCGTGGAACAAGAAGTCGGGTCCTCCACCTACGCCTTCTTCGGGTTCAACGGCACGGCGGGTGTGTGGAGGATCGGCGCACTGAATGAAGCCGGCGGGTGGAAGGACAGAACCACCGTCGAGGACATGGACCTCGCCGTCCGGGCCAGTCTTAAGGGCTGGAAGTTCTTGTACCTCGACGACCTCAGGGTACGTAACTTCACAATCCTGTATTTGTTTATTTATTTATTAAATTATATAGAAACTGGTTCTTGATACGGCATTAGAATTGATATACAAAACGCTTATTAGGCCGGATTGATTCAATTATAGGACGATGAAAAGAAACAAAATGAAAGGACATGCATGCAATGTGACGTAACATCAATTATATTTGTGGGGATCCCTCGTAATTAAGGGACCAACATGATGAGGAAGGGAAACAAAATTCTTTCATTCCAATTAGTTTGCTGAAGTAGAGACCACAAGCTTTGTCTGGCTATGAAGCTGGAAGGGTTGCGGCGTTATGTTTCCTTTATCCTGTCTGGTTACATGGGAATGGAGGGTTCTTTTCCTTGCACTCTTTCATTTCATGTCTGTCGAAGGAAATTACAGGAAGATTGATGGAAATAAATGGTCGGTCGGTCGGTTGGAAATTAACAGGTGAAAAATGAGCTGCCAAGTACGTTCAAGGCCTACCGTTATCAGCAGCACCGGTGGTCTTGTGGTCCAGCCAACCTCTTCAGGAAGATGATCAAGGAAATCGTCATGAACAAGGTTCGTTTTGGTGATCTACACATGCTTAATTATATCCTTGGATTGCACATCTTTATAGCCATTTCTGTTACCATTTTGTTGCCAACTAGCTACCTTTGTTTTACCATATTAAGGAGCTAGCTATAGCTGACCCGGCCCATTCCTAATTTGTTGTTTTTTTGGGAGCTCATGCAGAAAGTGACACTGTGGAAGAAAGTCCATGTGATCTACAGCTTCTTCTTCGTCCGGAAGATTGTAGCCCACATCATCACCTTCGTATTCTACTGCGTCGTCTTGCCTGCCACCGTCGTGGTACCTGAAGTGGAGGTCCCCAAGTGGGGGCTCGTCTACATTCCCTCGATCATAACCGTCCTCAACTCGGTCGGCACTCCTAGGTCACTCCACTTGGTGATCTTCTGGATCGTGTTTGAGAACGTCATATCCCTCCATCGAACTAAGGCCACCTTCATAGGCTTGCTGGAGGCTGGGAGGGTGAACGAATGGATCGTGACTGAGAAGCTAGGTGATGCCCTTAAAACCAAATCCACTAAGGCACCCAAGAAGCCTCGATTCAGACTCGGCGAGAGGTAATATATTAACATAAGTTGATTCATCTCTCTTGTCATCTCAAAGTTAGGATTGTGATACATTAATTGGATCGTCAATCAATCTGATTGCAGGCTTCATGTGTTGGAGATTCTGACCGGGTTTTATCTCCTGACTTGTGGTTTATACGATCTGGCCTACGGCCAGTATCGCTACTACTTGTACCTCTTCGTTCAAGCCATAGCGTTCTTCATTGTTGGATCGGGTTATGTCGGCACATTCGTCTCTCATTCTTGATGAACACGACGTGACACTTAGCGATGAAAATGCTCGCCGCTGAATTTCTCAACTTGGTTGGTTGTGGTGGGGAGGAAAATATTACTCCTTTGTTGTTCTTACACTTCCTCTTCTTATTTATTTTGTGTAAAGGGTGGCGAAAGAAAGAACGACCATCATATTCAATTCTTTTGGGGTTGGGGGCATAAAAGGTGTTGGAGGATGGAACGAAGAAGAGAAGGGTTATTGGGGTAAATTTCCTATCTAGGATCTCTTGTGAATATATGTGCTAGTAAGAAATTAAAAGAGGTATTTGGAAAGAATTGTTACATTTTACATACGAGAGGTGGGCAATAGAAAGAGGAGGTAAATGGAAGGACAAAGTTGTTTGTGTTCTAAGTAGTGTAGAAAAAGTGTACTTGCAGCAATTTGTTTTGGGTCCGTTATACTTTTTTTCTATAGCTACCAATGTTGGGGTTTGAAATTTAGGTTCGAAGGAATAAATAAATAAAAATTATTCCTTTTATGTGGTTTTCATGAGATATTTGTTGAGTTGATTCGTTGAATTATTTGATGTTAAATTTATCGTTTGCGAAAAAAGAATGCAATCGAATGCTACAAAGATCTGGAACCCTTTTGGGAGAAAAATCTCCTCTCGCTCCTTGGAAATCCTCACTCAATCTCTTCATCCATCGTATATAAAAGACTAGATTATTAAAGAATTGAACATTCTGATAACAAAACGTTATCTTTCTACCAAAAATCTGATAAAAAAAATCTTAATCCGAAGAAAATAAATTAACTTTTCTCGAAAAACACTAGTGTTTATAAGGAAAAGAACACACCTTTCTACCATAAAGAAAATATCATAGATGTGAATAGATCAGCTGATCCCATGAAACAATAAATAAAATAATTACATATACAAATTGGTACTATAAATTTGGATTGAACCGAGTTTTTGAATTTTTCGTTGGCTTCAAACGTGTGTTATTTTGTCTTCTAAGAAAGAAGAGGTTAATGGAAGGACATATTTGTTTGTCTTCTAAGTAGAGTAGAAAGAGTGTAATCGTGAGTTGTTGCAATTGGTTTGGGTCCATTATATATATTTTTTTCTTTAGCTACCACTGTTGGGGTTTGAAACTTGGAGTTGGATGAAGAAATAAACTGTTAAATATACTTTTTGGCGGGGCGAGATTCTATTCTCTCTTATGCGTCCTCAATCGGCGGAGCGGCTGGCCTAGCAATGGAGACGGGGCGGAGCGAGTAGCAGAGCAGCCACGCGAGATGCCGCCGTCAACCAAGTAGCAGAGCAGCCGCGCAAAGTTGGCGAAGATTTCCGTCAACCGAGTAGCAGATCAGCCGCGCGAATCGTCAGCCGCCGGTGAATTTCAAGAGCCGGATTTTCCTTTCTAGGTGGTGGGATAATATTGTCTGTTTGATTTATTTAGGGCGAAAATTTTAAAAGATTAGGGCGTTAAATAGGAATTCAGTTTAAAACCCAAAATTAGTAATTTATTTCACTTGATTACCATGGAAACTAGAGTGCAACGGTGACATATATGTATAAAAATTACATATAATGTAGAAAAAAAAAATAAACAACAATATATTATTATAATGCTAAATCTTCAACAATCACTACTTCTTTTCACTCATCAGTAAGTGTGCTGCTAGCCTTTAGGTTCTATCCAACCACAAATGTGCACTTCACTAGTAGGTAGGAAGTTTTCCATCGCATCATCGTAGTCGAACGTGTGATATTTATGCGTATCCAGCGAATAGAACACAATGCTTCCTTTGGCAGAAATTCGAGGAAAGTATATTTTGTTTTCCATTCCTTGAATTTTTGCCATAATCGAGAAACATGATGTGTTGCTCAGAAACACCATGTTTGATCCCAAGCTGTTGACTCTCCACCAACCCTTCTTCTGTCGATCGAACCTGTAAACTAAAATTGACTTGCCGAGATCACCCACTAGTATAGACATGATTTCACCTTCACATTCCACTAGATACTCCCTCTTAAATTTAAGGTCCTCGTTAGGATCCACGACGTGATGAGATAGGAGCTTCCACGGGTACACGTCGCGTTCCCATTCGTATAGCCCCTCGACGCCACGACGACAGTTGAAAACACCTAGTTTTCTCTTCTTATCCAAGAAATAGAACTTATCGTCCAGAAAAGCCGGGGTGTTGTGGTCGCTAGGTTCAAAATTCGCCTCCGCGTCCTCCAAGTAATGCCACTGTCCCTCATTCAATTTCAAGAAATGGAACCATATGCCACCATAGTCTTTCATACTTTGCGCTACTCCCATAATGGAACAATGTGGAGACGTAGGTGCGGCCGAGACCCCAATGCTTATAGGGGAAGGAGGGTATATCATCTCAGGAACACTCCAAACTTCCTCTGTAAAAGGATTCCAAAATGTAAACAAAAACACTGGTTGAGGCAATGGATTCACAGCGGGTTCGAAGATATCATGCTCCATGCACGTCAGCAACCAACGCTCTTTGGAGAAGACAATGCAAGTAGTTGAATTTGACGATGGAGATTTGGGAAGCAGTTGTCGTGGATTGGTGAATGTGTTTCTACATCTCAAGTCGTGGAGATGGAGGCTTGTCGTGTGGTGCTGAAAGAAGAAGAACCATGGATACGTCGAGGGAGACTGGAGTGCTAGGCCGTCCAAGGTAGTCATCAACGGTGCTATCGATCTCAATGTCTTACAAGAACTGTGCAAGCTCCTGTAATCACCCACCACAGTCAAACGTCTGGTTATATTGTGAAGCATGTCTAGAGGAAGGTCCAGTATCGATACGGTCTTGGATGACGACGATGCAACTCTGCCCTCCTCCTCCTGATACCCAATTGCTTGATGTGCCGTTGTGCCACCCTTCTCGACAGCAGCCGAGCTACAATGGCGACTAGTACTACTAGCAGTTTGGCCACGATCGTAGCTAAGGAAGAAGATGGAGGATCGGCCAGAGTCATCGTGGAGGTCTGCTTCAGGAGGGGCGAGCATGAAATATGAGGATTGCCCTGTTTCGACATCAAAAGCAATGGTTCGGTAATGATCGCGAAGGAAGTAAACACAATTGGGTTTTGGTCCTTTGTGGCCTGGCGGGGGGATGCAGGAGAAACAGTTGTTGGGGTAACAGAAGAAGATGGCTCGTCCTTCCAAGCTCTTAACTTGAACCCATGAATAATAAGTAGACGATGGCGACGAGGAGGACCTGGACTTGTGCAATTTGAAAACTTGTAAGAATTCGAGGTCACTGTCACTACCCCTCAACTCGCAAAACAGTAACTGAAGTAGTTCCCCACCTGACTCAACCAAGCGGCGTTGGAACCTGTTGCTGTTTGGTAGAGATTGTGGCCCGTTGTCTAATACCAAACTTGCCACCAGCTTCTGTTGCCTTGTTAAATCTTTCTGAATAGCAAATAAGTGCCCATCCACTGTAATCGCATATACTGTCTTATCTTGGCAAACTATGAGGAACAAAAAGTATTTCACGTCACGAAACCTCTGTACAGCCCAACCCTTTGCAGCAGCTGCTGGTTTGCAATGCTCGAGCAGTGGAATTCCGCGGCGAGCAACTATAACTCTGCAGTCGGGGTGCGTTGGGGGATGCGTCATTATGATGGAGCACCAGTCGACAGTGTTCAACTTGGGTAGTTTGATGGACTCCATAGTGGCAGGATTGAACAAACTCAAGCATGTTGAGTTATCGGGAGGCCCAACTTGGAAGCCAGAGATTAACCACCCGAAAGGGGAGTGGCCAAGGACCGAGGAGTATTTAGGAAGCACAGCTGCAGGGAGGCGATGCTGTGGGAATTGCGTCGCCGTTGAAAACAAAGTCAGGTTCTTGTTGTGCACACTGACCACCCATGGAACATCTCTTGCAGACACTGGAAATTTCCCTGATAATGACGACGACGAATTCGGCTTCTTCGATGGCATGGTTGATCGATCGAGATGAAGCTAGCAAGCGAGGAACGAAGGAACCGATAATAATTTCTGCGGAGAAGGCAAGGTTTATATAGGAGCTTAGCTTCCCGTTTCCCACTCTGATAGGGAAATAAAAGGCCTCTCTGATTCCGGAAGGATAGCCGTCAAAGTTTTTTTTTCTTTCTTTTTCCGGGTGTTCTTTCCGCGGTTGGGTCGAAGAAGAAGTTGAGGCTTCTCTTCTTTCTCTCGGATCTGGATTCGTCGATTGACCGGAACATGGGCCACGCAATCCAGGGACGCCGCTGCTGCAACTTCACTTGCGGTGGCGCGTGTTCCGCGGCCGTGAGCACCCGGCGCAGTGGCACGAGAGGATTGGCCGGCCTTCTCTCCCCCGGCCGCCTGGTCCTCTCGTCTGGTTTCACGCTGTCTCCCTAGGTACTCTCCGTGGTTTTAATTTCTACAGTCGGTTGTTTTGCCGCTTTCACAATTTGAAATGGAAGATTAATTATGTGAGCATGTGTGTGCGTGAAATTTCCAGGCGAAGGAATGGCTGCGATTCCGGTCTTCAGGCAGTGCGCTCGTCGGCGGCCTGGGTTAACCATTCTGATGATAACGACGACGATGTCCGCTTTGTAAGATTCTAATAATTCCGGGATTCATCGGTTGTTAAACTGTTTTGCTGTGGCGGTGAGGATTTCCTTCGTTTTGTTTGCTTGCTGCAGTAAGGTGCTCGAGAATGATCTTCCGTGTGGCGTTCTACACCAGGTTCGTTCGCCCGTCCTCACTACTTGATTCCTCAGTGGTTGAGTAGTTAATGTTTCTGCAGTTATGAATTCTCCGTATGTGCTGTGAAATTGGTAGTAATTGTAGCCTTTTCCGATTGAACCAGTTTTGTCCTGTGGATACCCCGGCCGCCATTGATGCTTTCCTTTGCTACTGGAAGCCAAGTGCAGTTATCTTATTGGAGAGTGAGCTTTGGCCGAATCTGATCATGGTATCTTCAACTAAGGGTGTAAGTTATGAGTTATCCATCCATGTGCATCATAGGCCATGGTTCTTCCCTGTGAATTATGATATAGTAATTGTTTCACCTATCAAGTATTCCAACATTGAATTGGTAGTTGACTGGGATTGTGAATTAGGCTTTGCTTGGACTTTGGAGGAGTTTAAGTGAAAGATTAGGAGGGAGAAATTCATGAATGAAAGCTATTCATCGTTCTGCTTCCTTAGGGGATAGCTTTTTTTGCGGGGTTGTGCAATATGCATGATTATATGCCTTGTTGGAGTGACTTATCGCCATTGAATGATGTTGCAGATTCCTCTTACATTATTGAATGCTCGGATGTCTGTGAAGTCCTTCAAATTTTGGTCAGCATGGGCGCTTCCATTGATATCATTAATGCTATCCAAGTTTGCTTTGATTATCCCATTGGTACATTCTCGGGCTATTGTGTCTTCTTTTCTTTTATCATTGTGGTGTGCTTGATACTGACAGTGTCCTTTTTTATAGAGTACCACTCAGGCAATACGCTTCCAGCTTCTGCAAGCTCCACCTTCAATCATAAATTTCGCTGGTGATTTGAAATACGGTATGTTTATTACAGTTATCCTCTAGTAACGTGGTATTGTTTTTCCTCTAAAAATGAAGATTGACAGGTATGGTTACTATTTTTTTTGTGTTTGGTCAATGGTCACACACATCACAATATTGGTTGTTGTGAGGCATAAGTATAGATTTTTCCCATGGCTGAGAACTAGATATCTGATTTTTTCTTAGGTTTAGTTTATCTAGACTCTCTTCTTATGATATTTTGGGGGTTCCCAAGTTAATGTGAGGTGGCTATACACCCTGATGGAAAGGTGAGGGTATTTCTATTTCAGTGGTGGAACATGACATGTCCAAGAGGAATATAGCAAGCACTGAAGATTTGAAGGAGCAGCCCTCTGATAGGCATGTATGGATGGCTGCATCAGTTCATAGAGGTGAAGAACAAGGTGTGTTCCAAGCTGCACTGGTTTCTGACTTGGTCTATCTATGTGTCACGTCTTTTTCATTACAGTTTAACTCTGAGTCTATCTTACAGCTTGATGGTGCATGGCATAGAATATTTCCACTACAAAATGCCAAAATTTCATTTACTTTTGTTTGTATTGGTGGCTCTAAGTTATTGTGGCTTTCTAAGCACTCACGACTGCCATTTTTCAGTAATCTTAGCAGTTCACAGATTGTTAGTGCGAAGGTATCCCGACTTGGTGACTATTATTGTCCCTCGCCACCTGCAGCTTGCCCACCATATTGTTGAAGTATGAACTTCAGTTCCAGTTCCATCTTTCTTCCCTAAGCTAGGTGTTTCGAGTCTAAACTATATTAAATGCATATGCTTGTTGTATTTCCCCCTGGTAAATTGATGCCTTCTGATAAGTCTGATCTAACTCAAATGTCTGGGCTTAGGAGTTAGACCTGTTGTAGAAGACATCTCCTAGTGTTGCATTGATCACCATTTAAAAGATAAATAGAGGCGTTGTTCATGATTGTTGCCTTAAGAGCATGTAGACAATGGCCTGATGAGCAAGTTGTTTAGCCCAGTCGACACATATTGATGATAGGCCACCATGGTTGGTTGTTTCTATTTCTGTCATTTATGTTCCAACTAGTTCATATTGCTGACATCTTGACAGCTAAATAGTAAGATTGGAAAACTTGATGTCCTTTGGACCGAAGGAACTTGATGTCTTGATTTCATATTCTGGATCTAGTGAAACTGGTTTGATTATAAACTCAAGTAATTTCTCGTTTAATGTTTTGTTTTGAAAATGTGCAGGAATTGCAGAAAGAAGGACTTCATGTAGCCTTGAGGTCTCGAAAGCAAAAGATCACGGCTAGAGGACTCGTGTACATGGTCGACACTTTAGGTTTGCTTCTAAACTCTCCCAAGTTCCATTTTTCATGTTCTCCATAATGTTCTTAAATCGTTTTCTCAAACTTCTTCAATAGGTGAATTGAGGCATCTATATAGCCTAACTCCAATAGCTTTAGTTGGAGGTTCCTTCTGTCCTGGTTTCGCTGGCCACAACATATCCGAAGCTGCCGCAGCTGGCTGTGCTGTTTTAACTGGTCATTGTTCTTCTCTCTCTCTTGACCCCTCTCTTTCCTGCTATATACAGACTTCATGCCATGCAACCCATTACTATCCTTTTGCTTTCAGGTTTTCATGTCGGACACTTCTCACACATGATAAATGAAATGCAACGACTGGATCCTCTTTAAGTTGTGCAGGTTTTCTATGCCCCTTCACTTCTCTGGTCCATTCATAGCCTTCTCAGTTCTACCATTTTAGTTCCTTAAGTGGACTGTTTTTGTCCTGTTTCACTTTTTCAGGTGTCTGGAAAGGAAGAACTTCAAGAAGCGCTCTTCCAGCTCTTCAATGACAGAAAGATGCTCAAAGCACGACGCATGGCTTCAAAACAAACGTTTCGTACCCTTTCGAGTGGAATTCTTGCCAAAGTTTGGAACCTCTTGGATACCCATGTCCTTGACAGGATCTCCATTATTGAAAAAAAAAATTTTGAAAAGCGGCATTCATCATAATTGCAAGGTAATCAAGCCTTGTTAGTACGTGAAAATTGAATCTGTGCTTGTTAGCATGCTGCTCAATACACCATGATGATTAAATATTGATGAATCGATATCGATCAATTTCTGAGTTCTCTCTCGAAATCTGCAGCCGCAATAGCTGCTTGTCCGCCTCCGTACGGGGAAACGGTCTTCATCAAGTAGAGCGAACGAACTTGAAGGATAATTCATATTGGTACGAGGAAGCGCGCCCATGCACCCTGCTCGTTTGTTTTTGTATTGGTCATAACCTCAATTAACTGACAGATAAGCCTTCCTTTTCTTTTCCAGGGCGATTGGTGGTGTAGGGTTCAGAAGTTTGGAGAGGAGGATTATGGGAGCAGCTGGAAGGTTAAAGAGGAATGTTGTTGTTGTTGAAGGATTCGATAGACTGAGGCATGTTCTGGGACCAGTCTGCATCACATTATCTCCTTCCTCGACCCTGTACCCATCGCTGAAACCAGTATCCTCTTCAGGAGGTGGACATGCTTGTGGGAAGATCGATGTACCAGTCCTTCGTTTAAAGAGGCATCGCTCCAAATTGGGTTTCAAATTAGGAACATTGTAAGCCAGCTTCTGTCTCTTGGATCCTGCCATGTCCTTGTTGGAGCAATTGACTTTAGACTAGTCTTGGGGATTATTTCCTGGGTTACAAAGAAATCAAAGTGTTTGATAGAGTGATCGATATATGCTGCTGCTTCCTAATACCATGGTAATGAAGGTGTTCTTCTGCACTATGTTTCGATTAGCCCTCAGCCCAGTGGAGCTAGAGTCTGACGAGTTTACTAACATAGAGGCGGCTTCGGTTTGACAACGCTGATATTTCACAGAGGAGAGGCTAATCGTACATGCTTAAACTTGTCGAGTGGTTTGCAACAGTTGAATTTCTCACCCTTCCCTTTGAAAACTCGCTCCAGGTAAGTTGCTTTACGTTGTCACTAGATATAAATATAATTAAGTTCTGTGTGCTTGGTAAAAAAATATTTTAGTCTAGTGGAATTCTTGACAAGGTTTGGAACCTCTTAGAATAAGGATGTCCGTGGGCATATCCCTCATTTGTGTTCTGCTGCAAATCGGGTATTCCTATGAAACTATATGCTAAAGTGATAATGGCTAGGTGAAAGTAGTCCTCATTTGAAATATATGAAGTAATGCATTTTAGTTCTACCGTGGAAAATACCAGTGCTCAAAACACTCTGTCCACTTGTACAAACATGAACATCAGGATCAGTTTCATTCCTTAACACTGCTTTCGATGTATTGGTTCACTATAATCCTTGAAGATTCTGTCTACTGAATCAAAATAATGTTTTCTAGTAATACACAGCCTGCGAAAGATGTTGACAAAGTAACTTCACAGAACCTTCAGCTGTTGAAATTTCTGAACATACCAACTTCTAACAGCTCGTTTTGTTTCCCGCATCCATTCTTGAGTTTGTTTTCTACATGCTCATTGCATATTCAAGGGGAAGGTCGTGTATAGTGGGAGAGAGTTTATCCTGCTAAACATAAATGCCCGTTTTTCCAGACTTGTTTGCTAAATTCAACCTGACGTTGAGTTTCTTACTCTCTTCCAGGAGGAAAATTGGCACCTTTTTTTACTGGAATCATGAAGGAGAGGCCTCCAATCCGTCTGAAATCTGGACCCCTGGATTTCTCTGGTGTCTGGTGCGAGAACTGGATATCTCGTCCCCAACCGTAAGCGAGTGGATTATATCTCGAAAAGAAGGCTCATCGCAAGGTATGGCCAACAGTCCGTCGTTATTCCAGCCATTCTCCTCGTACGCTTGATCCAGCAGCTGCCTGAGAACTGGATGGTTCAAATGATCTGCTCTTATGACGATCCTCTTCCCAGCTTTCCCTACCATCACTGGCAAATGACCAGGAGGCACATCCCGTGGAAGCTTATGCTTCTGGCACACGTCGGTAAAAATCTTCCTTAGCTTCATGATCTTGCAAATCCCACCACACTCTAATCCCTTTACCGAGAAAGCCATTTCGAAAGTTGCTGTAGAATGTTGAATGAACCCTTTAGAAGAGAGGCCATGCCTATTTATCTACCCTCGACAAGAAAGGATCATTCATGTCTCATTTCTACACGCAATGCAAAGTTCTTTTTTTCTCCATGTTTGATATTTTTCCCGTGAGGTCAAACCCCCATGCAGATGCAATGTCCTGGTTTCCCTTTGTGTGTCATGTTTTTCTTTCTGCGTTAACATGGCTGTGAAATGAGATGCATGAACCTTAGCCACCGATACCTTGAAAATTGGCAATTGTTTCACAAATGTTTTCAGATTTTGCCCAAGGGCTGGTATGTTAATCTGGTTTTGCATGTTGCTTGCAGGATAGGTTTGGTGGGCTACGGGACCTTCCCTACTAGCTATAGGTGCGGCTAGCTAGCGTGAAATAGGCAAGTGTTGGAGGCGACGAGAATTTGATGTTTGGCTTACACACCTCTTATCTTACGTTGCTGTTTGTTCTTCAGACATGTCAGATTTCCGTGTAACCTCGTACCCTATGTCCTATTCCTTGTGCTGCAGAAACTGTTCCAATCGCCATTAAGACAGAAGAGAGCGGTTGTAACCAGCCCAACCTAGGTTGGCCAATGGCCAGGCCGGTAAGATACTTCTCAAAGATCTGCTTTTTAATTTATTACAAATGTCTCATCGTGATCGTAGTTCATACTTATCTTAGATGATATTAAGCGTTACACGAAATTATAATATAATGTTTTCTTCCAAAATCAATCGAATTTCATGCATTTTGATAATGCTCGGATGTCTGTGAAGTCCTTCAAATTTTGGTCAGGATTGGCGCTTCCCTTGATATCGTTAATGCTATCCAAGTTTGTTTTGATTGTCCCACTGAATGACTTATCGCCATTGGATGATGTTGCAGATTCCACTTACATTATTGAATGCTCGGATGTCTGTGAAGTCCTTCAAATTTTGGTCAGGATTGGCGCTTCCATCGATATCGTTAATGCTGTCCAAGTTTGTTTTGATTGTCCCCCTGGTACATTCTCGGGTTATTGTGTCTTCTTTTCTCTCATTGTTGTTGTGGTGTGCTTGATGCTGATAGTGTTCTTTTTTCTAGAGTACCACTCAGGCAATACGCTTCCAGCTTCTGCAAGCTCCACCTTCAATCATAAATTTTGCTGGTGATTTGAAATACGGTATGTTTATCACACTTATCATCTAGTAAAGTGGTATTCTTCTAAAAGTGAAAATTGATGTGGTATGGTTACTATTTTGTGTTTGGTCAATCGTCACACTTCACACATCTTGGTTGTTGTGAGGCATAAGTATAGATTTTGCCAATGGCTGAGAACTAGGTATCTGAATTTGCCTTGGTTGTAGTTTCTCTACACTCTCTTCTTATCACATTTTTGGGGGTTCCTAAGGTGTAATAGAAAGGTGATGATTTATCTATTTCAGTGGTAGAACATGACATGACCAAGAGGAATATAGCAAGCACTGAAGATTTGAAGGACGAGCTCTCTGATAGGAATGTATGGATTGCTGCATCAGTTCATAGAGGTGAAGAACAAGGTGTGTTCCAGTTGCACTGGTTTCTTACTTGGTCTATCTATGCTTCATGTCAATACTATATTATTTAGATTAATCTTACAACTTGATGGTGCATGGTATAGAATATTTCCACTACAAAATGTCAAAAATTTAATTTGCTTGTGTTTGTATTGGTTGTCAGGTTTCCTGAGTTATTGTTGCTTTCTAAGCACTCATGACTGTCATCTTTTCAGTAATGTTATCAGTTCGCAGATCGTTGGCCCGAAGGTACCCTGACTTGGTGACTATTATTGTCCCTCGCCACCTGCAGCTTGCGCACCATATTGTTGAAGTATGAATTTCAGTTCTAGCTCCATCTTTCTTCGCCTCAGCTAGTTGTTTCCAGTCTAAACTATACTTATGAGTTTGCGTGTTTGAGTGGTTACTTTATGGAAGCATAAACTTTAGGCATTTCTCGTTTAATGTTTTGTTTAAAAATGTGCAGGAATTGCAGTAAGATGGACTTCATGTAGCCTTGAGGTCTCGAAAGGAAAAGATCACGGCCGTAGGACAAGTGTACGTGGTCGACACTTTAGGTTTGCTTCTAAACTCTCCCAAGTTTCATTAGTTGATGGCCATGCATAACAAACCTGCTGCATGATATTAGTAAATCCTTAACTCAAACTTGTTCAATAGGTGAATTAAGGCGTCTATATAGCCTAACTCCAATAGCTGTAGTTGGCGGTTCCTTCTGTCCTGGTTTCGCTGGCCATAACATATCTGAAGCTGCCGCAGCTGGCTGTGCTGTTTTAACTGGTCACTGTTCTTCTCTCTCTATCTCTGTCGACCCCTGCCTTTCATGCTATATATAAACTGTATGCAATGTTTTTTAAAGCGCTTCACTGCTTCTTTTGCTTTCAGGTTTTCATGTCGGACATTTCTTACACATGATAAATGAAATGCAAAGACTGGATTCTCTTTCAGTTATGCAGGTTTTCGATGCCCCTTTCACTTCTCTGGTTCATTCATAGCCTTCTGACTGCTACCATTTTTAGCTCTTTAATTGACTGTTTTGTTCTGTATCACTTCTTCAGGTGTCTGGAAAGGAAGAACTTAAAGAAGCGCTCTTTCATATCTTCAATGACACAAACTTACTCAAAGCACGACGCATGGCTTCGAAACAAACGTTTCATACCCTTTCCTCATCCTTCTCTCTTCTACAAACTGCTGTTGATCTAGTCCAAGTTAGATAAAGAGATCTAGTCATGGCCCGCATTTGCAGCCCAAAAAGTACTTGAAGTAAATGCCTTGGCCAAGGAACTTAGTGGTCACAAGGATCAGGTAGTGTTCTTGCACTTTGGTGATTTTTTTGTGTTTTTCATTGTTTTTACTTGGAGTTCTTGCTAATTGGTAGTTTAGCCAAACATTTAAGTCTGTCTCATAGGAAAGAAAACCAGTTTGATAGGCGATTTTTGATGTTAGCCTGCAATTGTTTATTTTTCCTGAACTTGAACTCTTCTTTTTCTCTGTCCAGCCATTCTTCTCAGCTAATGCTACTGCTCTTACTTGGAGAAAATCCTCTCCAAGGGTCACAAATCAGTCTGTTCAGATTGCTGTGAGTGAACTGGTCTTTTGTTAGAAATGAGCAGCCCAGGTATGACAGTTGCTGAAGCAACAAAGCATCAAAATCTTTGGTTCCAGATCTTTTTGTGGAGAATTTTGATGTGTTACCCTCTCATTTTGTTAGGCATGAGACGTTCTTCCAAATCAAACTTGCCATCAAGGATGAGGTTGAGTATCTTGACAAGGCTGGAATAAACGTCATCCAGATTGACGAGGCTGCTTTGGGGGAGGGGTTGCCTCTAAGGAAGTTGGAGCATGCTTTCTATATGGATTGGGTTGTCCACTCCTTCAGGATTACCAACTGTGGTGTCCAAGATACTACCCAGGTCAGCATCACTTTCCTGCCCCCTTGTTCCGGGAAACTGTTCCAAGTTTTGTGGCTTTGATTTTAGTTTTTGCATTATGGCTGTTGGAATTAACTAAAAGAGTGAACTTTTGATGTTGGCTCGCAGATCCATACCCACATGCGCTAATCAAATTGCAATGATGTCATTCACTCAATCGTCAGCATGGATGCTGGTGTGTACGATATTCACTCGCCTAGTATCCCTTCCACTGAAGAAATTACCCTATTACGAATTACATATGTTCACCTGTTCTTTCGTCTTATGATCTCCAATTCATTGATGAACAGATCCCCAGAGTTTCTAGATTGTACATGGGTTCTCTTAACTTGGGGGTCTTGGTGGAGTTGTCAAAATAGAACGGGTCGATATAGTAGGTGGCCTGGGCAACGCTGCAAGGTTTATCTCTGGTGGAGACTTCTTGATTCTTGTATTGGCGAGGAAATTGGAAAACGACTGAAGTCCAATATTTGTTTGATTCGCTATACACAAAAGCTCAATCTCTGACTTCGAACTCCACTCCCCTCTCCTAATTTTGCAATTCGGCCCGTCATTCGCTTTCCTTTCCATTTGGGCTGACCAGCCCATTTACTCATTATTTAAGGGCCCATGGATCCGGCTCCACTTCTTTCTGGGCCCTGGGATCCATAATATCAAGATAGGATAGCTATTTCTATAATGGACCTACCGCCTTTTCTTCCCTCCACAATATATTGCTTTCTCCATTTGAAAGCACAACCGCCTGCCTGTATCTGTTACTCCACTCTATCTGTAGCTTTCGTTCTTTCTCACCGCCTGCCTGTATCCCTTACTCCACCCTATCTGTAGCTTTCTTTCTTTCTCATTTCCCAAGAAAGAGTGTGCCATCTTATTTTACGAATCTCCATGAAAAGTTTTGCCACAGTTGATTTCATTCTCTCTCTTCCTCCAAGAATGTCCATGGAACGACATTGGGCACCACGCTACCACGTGTCAAATAGATTTCGGGGGTGAGAGAATCGAGGCGCCAACGGATGTAAAAACAGATTTCGGGGTTTGGGAGAATCGAGACACCCAACGGATTTCTGGGTGGAAGAATCGAGGTTCCGGGGCAATAATGGTGGAGCCTCTGACTGGGCAAATTCGTTCGTTTTAAATGGGGAAGAAATAAGGGAGTATGCGAGAATGAAGTGGAACTGAAATGGGGAGATAAAGATTTATACTGAGATTCAGACTAGAGATGTAATGTATGATAAACCTCAAACATTACTTAGTATCAGCAAAACATATAACACCTCGATCAACAACAGAAATGTCTAAAACGAAACGAAACATAGAACATTCGTCTCATATACCCATCAGTACTGTGAACTGAGCAAAAACATACTATCCAATATTTATACCCCTATTTATTTAGGCTAAAGAAACCTGGAAAAACATATATCCATAATCCATTGGCTTCCACAGTACCCACTTCCATGCATAATCAACGGCACAGGAAAGAGTATTTCCCAGGTGCCTGCTCAGTCCCGGCCTTCAAGTTGCTGGTAGATGCAAAGGAGACGCCAAAACCGGTAGTGCTCTTCCCTGCACCTGCTGCTGGCTTCTCAGCCTTGTTGCTGGTGTCAGTAGCAACCTGAAAAGCAGAACACAAAATCCATCAATAACCAGATCTATCTTTCTTCAGCAGATCACAAAACCAAAACTACCATTCACAAGGCCTAAACACAAAAATGATATGAAATGATCTCCATACAGAATATCAACCGATTAAAACACTCTTAAACTACAAGAAAACTCGCGTGAGCAAGAATCAAGAGAAGGAACTACTATAGGTACAAAACACCATTAACAAGCAACCAGAACTACCAGATCTACCATTCACACGGACGAATATCGAAATGAAAAGGTCTCCAAACAGAATGATAGATTAAACCACGCCTAAACCCCTAGAAAACTCGCGTGAACGAGATTCAAGTAATGAAACGACTACAGGTACAGAAATATCAACAGATCCAAAAGCGCAAGGCCAAACCAAACGAAATAAACGAAAAACGAGTGAAGAAGCAACTACAGATACAGATTATCAAACAACAAGGCTAAACCAAACGATCTAAAATAAAAACGAGATCGGAGTGAAGAAACGACTACAGATAGAGATTATCCAAACCGCAAGGCCAAACCAAACGATATAAAACAAAAACGAGAAGTGAAGAAATGACTACATTGTCGCGACTAAAACGAAAGGAACGGAGATCGAAATGAGGACGAAGTGTATTACCTGCTGATAGTGTGCATCCATGTGACGACGGTAACCTCGCGGGAAGCAGAGATCGCAGATCTTGCACAGCCACAGACCGCGGTAGAGTGTCCCCTCGCCGTGTCCCATAGTCGGAAACAAGGAAATCACAGGAGAAAACGAATTGAGAACGAAAATGGCGAAGCTGATTTCGTAGATAGGGTTTCTGTAATAGAAATAGTAGTTTACTGTTCTATTTATACTAAAATTTAGGGTTTAGGAAGGGTTCTAGAATGTACATCTGAGTAGGAAATGGGCTAATGGGCTTCTTGGGATTGAGTTGCATTGTACGGTTAGAAATGGGCTAATGGGCTTCTTGGGATTGAGTTGCATTTTGCGGTTAGAGACCGAAATGTTGGTATCAAAGAGTCTTAGGCTTTCGGGCTTCTGGGCCGAAATTTGGGCTTCTGGGTCTGACGGACTTTGTAGATCTGTGCCTCTCTAAAAGAAAACCCTATCGCCGACCTATCGCCGCCGCCGCCGTCATCGTTATACGTCTGATCAAAAAAAACCATCAGCAATTTTAAACACGAAATCAACCCAAAACAAATTAAATAGAAATTGAGAGAATTAACGCACCAACTGTATAGTTGATCTATTCCTGAATTGTGAAAAAACCTTAAATAGGTCATTAAAACTCAATACTTACCGCCAAACTATCATCTCTATCTGTTAAAGTCGTCGGCCGGAATAAAAAATCAAAAGACTTAGACTTTTTAGAAAATCAAATAAAATCAACCAGATCAAACAAGATGGAAATCGAGAAAATTAACATACAAATTGTATTTCATCTTACCGGAGGGCCACCAAGCCTCCTCCGCCCCCTCCTGACTCCCAGGACCTCTCCTCGCCACCGTTGAATCATCTGAGCGTCGCCGATAAATCTGTCTTACTCTCCGCCGGTCTGGATCCTTCAGATCCAGGTTTGGAGCCGGCTGGTGGCGCGTCTGATTGTTTTAGGAGATAAGACGTGTTAGGTGGCTAGTTCTAATATGGGAGAGAGAAGTGAAACTCTTGTGTTCAGAGGATAGGTCAGACTTAAGTACAAAGCTACAAGGGCAAACTCGTCAAAAACGTTCTGCGAGAGTTTTTTTTTTTTAAAGGATCGAGAGTCAAGTGTTAATGTTTCGGCCGTTGGATCAGTTCCTTGTATGTATCGATACAGATGAACGGATTGGATGGATTGTTCTTTATTGAAACTTTCAACACTATATTTATTGCTTTACAGCTGTTGGGTACCAAATTCGAGAAATTTCTCTCTTTCAAAGGAAACCGAATTTATTCAAAAAAAAAAGAAACCGAAAAAAAACATCTTTACGCAGCTGCACCTCTAGGGTTAATTGAGCACATCTAACTTAATGGGTTTTTATGCCTTTTGGGCTTTGTCTTGTTTTTTGCGGGCCTTTGTTCTATCGCATGAGTATCCAGTATCCACACATCAGCAACCGCAAGTCGCACGACTAGGTAGGAATGGCAGATTTCAAAGTGAGGTTGTATTATACTGTTATTAGTTTATTACACTTGGATATGGTTATGTTTAGGGAAGACCTTAATCCCCATGGCCTGCAAGTTGGCGATTTATGCCCAATTTGTGTGTGCACAGAAGGTGAATCAGTCGAGCATTTATTTCTTTGTTGTCCGGTTGCAGTTGCTTTGCGTAATTTGGTAGGGCTCCATTTGCCTCTTCGTCTCCTTCTCATCACCCACTTTTCGTTGTTTTGGCGACATCTCATATTCAATGCGGATATCAGCTCTATTAGTTCCTGGGTACTATTATTTTGGCGACTATGAAAAAGTCTCAACAATATTGTCTTCCTCCCCCACGCCCAGTTTACCATCGCCTGCCTTCATCGTCAACTACTGTCACACCAGGCCGATCATCAAATTGCCGTCCAACCTCTATTTCTAGCCCAGGCACCACCGCCTCGAGGACTCCGTGCTCCCCAATTGAGTTCCGGATTTCGGATTGCTGTGGACGGTGCGACATCATCTCCCACTCATGGTGCAGTTGATATTGTTGGCTTTATTGGCGGTCAGGCTACTTTTGGATTTGGGTGCGCTCTACCTGGGATAATTAATGCTACTATTGTGGAATTATTGGCGGTCCGGTATGCTTTACTCCTCCTTTCCCGTTGGGGATGGTATGATCATCCTGTTCAGATTACTGGAGATGCTCAAGCTGTGTTGGAGCGGTTAGAGTCTAACAATCATCATGATGTTCGGTGCGGCGCAATATATCGTGAAGTGTTATATCTTCTCACTCGTCTACCTTTGGTTTCTTTGGATTACTCACCTCGAGAAGCCAACCAGGCTGCCCATATTGTGGCAGGTAATGCCCTTCGCTATCCTGGTATCAGTAATGTATTATTTGATTACTCCTATATGGTCTGTCTTTGAGTCCGTGTAGGGGTTGTAATTGGTGTGACCCCACAAGCCTATCTGGTTAATCCGCAAGAATTTCTATGACAACAAAAAATATGGTCATGTTTAGGGCGGAAAGTTTGGTACTATTGCGAATATCGAATATCAATTGAATTTAACATTATTTGGTATTATCGAATATATGTATTATTTTTTTGCATTAAAATTGAGATTTAATTTTTTCCGATAATTTTGATATTTATTTCAAGTATTTGGTATTAGGGATTACGGGATTGGAACTGATAATATACCAAAACACCAATAAATACCGCAATATAAGCTAATATGCATTTATCTCTCTCAACTAGACTTTCTCACTCACTACTATGAGACCGCAACCGCCAAGATGGTTACCTACTTATACATAGCTCATTCCCTCGTCATATGACAACCCATGTCAAGCTTATTTTGTTACTTGTAGTATGTTCATGAATTGCTTAATCGTCAACTGTTTCAGTTTGTTAGTTGGCTTCTTAGGCACCTCATTTTACTAGAGTGTTGTTATTATACTTAAGATTTTGAGAATGGTTTGTGGAGCTAATATTTGCGTTTGTATACTCAATTTGTAATTTTGAAGAAAATTAATTCGGTATTTACCAATACCGAACAAAAGATTGGGATTGGAATATTAAAATTGTTTTGGGATCGGATTTTATATTGAGTTTATAATACCATTTAATAGTCGAAATTTCGTAGTTTTGTTGCATTGGGTTATTTTACAATGACGTTGGGCTATCCCCAACGCAAATAGAATGGACTGCTTGTTTCTTCTTTTTTAAGTAGTAAAATGGACCGATTGATTATTCCATTCAAGTGCTTTGTTATCACAGATCTACAACCAGTTGCAGCCGATTGATAATGATTGCCATTTTCTTTCTTTTTTTGGTAGAAATGATTGGCATTTTCTTTTCCACTCGTTTTGCACTAAATTAAGAGGTTGTTTTCCTGAGAAAAATTAGAATTTACCTCAATTCATCACATTGAGCAAAACCAATGAACTTGTTGGCGGAAATTTCGGTCGGTTCGAATGTGATATGGATTATGAAAATTGTTGGGGTGAGAATTTATTTGTTTACAAATTTGTCATCTTTGTAAAGACTGGGAACAATATGGATTCCATCTGTCATTTTGCTCTTCTCTTTATCCTTGCGTTTGGAGTTTGGATACCTTTGATGTTGGCTTCAAAAATTTCGAACTATTCTAATGAACACTAAATTTGGAATATGATAATCAAACCAATCCCAGGAGAAAACCGATAGATAAGAAAATCCCCAAATGAAATACAAATTCCACCTCCTCTAACGTAAATTATTAAAAAGGACATCCAAACAATACATTTTACATAAATATATTACTTAGTTATTTCATAGGCTATCCGTTTTTTTTAAACTATGTATTTAGAATAGTAATCACTTTTTACAATGCACGAACCAAACAATTTTCTCAAAACTATGATCTACCAACTAGTGGCGGATCTAGGGCTGGGCCACCCCGGGCCACGGCCCAGCCCTCTTCCGATCCCGAGCTATTATAGTACGTATTAATTTTTCAACTTTAGGTGTTTGGTCCAGTAATATTTAAAAGTTGGTTTAATGTTCTTTGATAATATGATTTTATGCAACTTGAAAAATGGTCCAGATGAATATATCCAAACCACTATTCTAAATTTAGACTAAAAATTCAAGCCCCAATAGTTTTCATTTGTCAAGAATAAAATAAACAATGCTACTCTCTTCTACACACTGCTGCTATTCTAGTCCTGGCTCGCATTTGCAGCCCAAAAAGTACTTGAAGTAAATGCCTTGGCCAAGGAACTTAGTGGTCACAAGGATTAGGTTGTTTTTCATGCGCTTTGGTGATTTTTATGGTGTTTGTCATTGTTTTTACTTGTATAGGGTTCTTGCTAATTGGTAGTTTAGCCAAACATTTAGGTCTGCCTCATACGAAAAAATACCAGTTTGATAGGCAATCTTTGATGTTAGCTTGCAATTGTTTCTTTTTCTTGAACTTGATCTCTTCTTTTTCTCTGTCCAGCCATTCTTCTCTGCTAATGCTACTGCTCTTACTTGGAGAAAATCCTCTCCAAAGGTCACAAATCAGTTTGTTCATATTGCTGTTAATGAACTGGTCTTTTGTTAGAAATGAGCAGCCTAGGTATGACAGTTGCTGAAGCAACTAAGCATCAAAATCTTTGGTTTCCAGATCTTTTTGTGGAGAATTTTGATGTGTTACCCTCTCATTTTTGTTAGGCATGAGATGTGCTACCAAATCGAACTTGCCATCAAGGATGAGGTTGAGGATCTTGAGAAGGCTGGAATAAACGTCGTCAACATTGACGAGGCTGCTTTGAGGGAGGGGTTGCCTCTAAGGAAGTTGGAGCATGCTTTCTATTTGGATTGGGCTGTCCACTCCTTCAGGATTACCATCTGTGGTTTTCAAGATACTACCCAGGTCAACATCACTTTCCTGTCCCTTGTTCCGGGAAACCCTTCCAAGTTTTGTATCTTTGATTTTAGTTTTGCATTATGGCTGCTGGAATTAACTAAGAGAGTAAACTTTTGATGTTGGTTCACAGATCCATACCCACATGTGCTACTCAAACTTCAATGACGGCATTCATTCAATCATCAGCATGGATGATGATGTAATCACAATCGAGAACTCCAGATCAGATGAGAAGCTTCTCTTGGTCTTCCGTGAAGGAGTGAAGTATGGTGCAGGCATTGGGCCTGGTGTGTACGATATCACTCGCCTAGGATTCCACTCAAGAAATTACAGACCGTGTGAGGAAGATGCTTGCCAGGTACTCACACGAATTTGGCGGTGATCGTGTATCTCAATGGAGCAAGGAAAAAGGCTATCCCTTCAGTTGCCTTCGAGACCGATGGTGGTGATCGAGAATGTGTTGTGAAACTGTCTTGGTGAAGTTGTCCCACAAATATAGCGGTTCGGTATAGTAGGTGGACCGGGTCATCGAGCAACGCTGCATGGTTCATCATAACCCTTTCAGTTTTGGAGTCAGAGATTAGGCTGTATAAATGTAACTTCTCCTCCCTCCCCAGTCCACCAATTGTATCCCCTCAAAAACAATTCAACAGTATGTTGACATAAAAACTATGCCCATACAACTGTCAGGTCACATCACATAATTCCAAACTAACTCTCTTAATCAAAAGAACAACCATTAGATTGTTGATAAAAATGGCTGCCGATGAAACTAGAACGTAAAACTGAATCACGACAGCAACGACTAAATGTTGATAAGAACGCTGCTGATGCAACTACAACATGAACACAACCCTGAATTACAAAATCAGCGACTAAAAGTTGATAAGAACACTGCTGATGCAACCATCAAGTTCAACAAAAATAGAAATAACAAACTGAACAAGTCCAACAGCAAGTCTAGTGGGAAGACTGAGCAACAATCCGAGAGAACTTGGCAAGCTAGACATTCAACGGCAGAGGTAGGAGAACCTCCTGCCCTTCCTCTTCTCACCAGTCTACTTCAAGTTTGCTGTGTTCTGGGGAATGGCGAGTGCATCATTCTCAGTTGTCACATCCTTGTCAGATCTCGGCCGAAGTCTCGGCCATGTGTGCACCTCGACAGTTCACTCGGCCGAGGAAAAGTGCACTCGGCCGAGAAGT